TACAATGCCAGAATCCCAGTCTGATGAGCTTGATTGCTGCATGGAGGCCGTGCATGGCAGCACCGACCATATTCCTGCTGCATTGTCCTTCCCATCACAATCCCTGACATCGTAATAAGTGATTCAATCCCATATCACCATATCTGCCAGCCAAGTCTCTCGGTGATGTCACTACACTTCAGCCTTGCGCTGATTATTTAAAGTGGCCTGGACCCTGTCCTCCAATTGTCGTGGAGACAAGTTCACGCTATACGATGTAAGGTACGCCCCTGAAAGGTGTGAACCATTGGAGTCCTAGAACATGAGACATGGGACCACCTCTGCACGAGTCTAGGCATGCGAAGTTACCGTGGACTGTGGCAAGAGGGTTTCACAGACAGCACAGAGCCTCGCTCTGGCTGCACGCAAAGCATTAATTTGCACTCCACTACGAACGCCAGTAAACGTGTCATTAACGTGTAGAAGCATTGGAGTCTGTTGGACAGCAAGCAATTTCTTTCTTTCACATTTTGTTTGAAAGGATTTTCGGCTACTGACTTCATATAAGCTTCTTTAAATGTCCTTATTTGGAGTTAGCCCTTTTCAGTTCAGGGTTTTATGTCATCTGCGTACTGTGGAGTGAAGGAAGGTTGCTCGCTCTCAGCCGAAGGAACGAGCAGCTACGTACAATCCGACTGTGCAAGCCGCTAGTCTACAGCGTTCCAGGTACAGGTGGCCGTGCATACCCTGCCACCCACTGTGGCAGGTATCGCACACGTGTGTGGGTACAGATGTGTAATTGGAAAATATTTTTTTACATTTTTTGATCAGCTTTTGAAGACGTAATTTCTCGTAAATACTTGATATTTCGAGTTTTTTGTTATATATATTTTACCTCGACTTAAAGCTTTCGTGACTGCAGGAATTCATATTATTTGGGTCTTTCGTTAAAGTCACGTAGATAGGTTTAATTTTTTTTTACAAAAAACTACGACGTTTCGATCGAAACACAGGCGGCCGTCATCAGGTGGAGAAATGTGTTTTGTTTATGTTAAAGCTTAAAGTCATTCTTCAATAGCATTTATGGAAATAAAGACCCAAACTGAGTTAGAAATTGGCGGAAGCAAGTTCGGTAAAACCTTTTGTTTTTGTCTCGCCTACACTGGGGCTTCATGCTGCTGCGATGGCACAGAACACTATCTTCTGGAAAGCCCAGCAACGTGTTCGGCAGCGTAATTAATCGCAGCCGCGGGTGGCTGTGATGGAGGGTGCCCTGATAGCCACGCACTGAGCAGGATTAGTCCCATTAGCCGTTATAGCCGGTATCCTGCACACGTGTAACATCGTTATAGACCAGTGGACCAAACATTGGAAGCAATCTCTTGGGCACCCCACAGAGAATTCTGTGATTACATTTATAATTGTTAACTCTTCCTGTTCCTCTACGTGAAGATATCAGTTGATAGCTTTTGAAATTCATCCAATAGGTTATCAGTTTGTAGTTTGTTGGAATCATGGAGGTAAACGGTGATTTTTAGTGACAGCACCCTAATTTTGCCGCGAATGTAATTCGCAAGGGATGTGAAGAAAATCGGGGCAAGGAAATTCTATTTCGAGCATTATTGTTCTGCATTTAATAAAATAATCTAAAAGTAACCGACTAACGCGACATCGCTTATGCTTTTGTCACGGCCCTCGGAAAACAAAGCAACAAACATGCAGTTAATTCCACAAAAGCAGTTGTAATTTGATGATGGTACAAATGTATCATTGTTTTTATTCATGCGAGCAGACAAATAAAAAGTTAATGGAGCTGCGCGTGCGTGCGTGCGTGCGCGCGTGCGTGCGCGCACACCAACGGGTTTGCGAGGGCGCGCGGCCGTGAGCACGCGACCCCGTGTGGCCGCCGACTTCGCTCTCCACCGCAGTCGCGAAGCGTGGACCCGGGCACCCGCGCAGGGCCATAGCCACGGCTCTGGCTCTCCGTTCGCCCGCTTGCGTCGAGTCGATCGGCATTGCACACAAGTTGCTCTTTGGGTCAAATGTCCGTGCGATGTTATCAGGCCCGAGTCAATGGGCAAGCGTGGCTGCAGCTAGGCTCGGCGCAGGTTCGAGTTACGCTGACGGGCTGACGCCGCACAGCTCTCGCCTGTCCCCAGCATGACGTGCCGCACGGAACCCGGCGTGAGCTGCCCTGATCCAGGCGGACCGGATCCCTCCGCTCAATCCACCCTCTGCGCTGTCAGCAGCAGCAGCACTGCGTCACTGCTATATTTGCATTATCGGACCAGCAATCTGCCACAGCAAGACAGAACATGATCTTCAAATGGCTGAAAGCAGGCATAAGCTAAGCTGCTTAGGAAAATGTCAACTTCAATATTGCGTGACTGTTAGCTGGGAACACGTGCACGTGCTTAAGAACCAATACATTGTTGTTGCCGAGTTTTGCTGAACAGTTTGCCTCTTTGTTTCAGCAAATAAGTGGTCATATTGCACGTCTATTCGTATATGTGCAGTTTACATTTGTACTAAGTTCACAAGATCCCGGTTGATTGGAATTACAGCCGTCTAAACACCAAGTAAATTAAAAATCTGATCTCCGCAGCTTCCCACTGTCCTGTAACATACAAACGGGGCATCTTTGTGCAGTTGTTCTTTTGCTTCAATACACTTTGTCATTGCCTCCTTAAATAGCCGGCGCATCGTGTTCAAAAATTACAACCGTCACGATCACGCTTTTAAGTTGGATTTCAATACCAAAAGCTTTCACGTCCTGCAGACCACCGACCCAAAAAGAGGGAGACCAGCGCCCCGGCGTCGACTGACTACACGTGGCGAGTGCACGCGTTTAAAGTGAACGGGATTACAACGCCAATTTTAAATCAGTTGCGCATTTTATATCAAATACAGCGATTACCTTTTTTTTCATCGATAACAAAGTGACTTCTATAATATACAGTAGAAGAAATGCACTGCGTTTAGCCACGAACAGCACGGGTTGAATAACAATGCACGTTTACAGTTGGCAATCAGGTTAACGGCACCACCTTGCAGGTATAACGAGCTAATGGCTTCCTAGACACACAACACTGATTCACGTCCCACGGCTGCATTGTATTGTACTTCAGTTGCAATATACAGCAGAATTTTTTTTTGGTAATTAAGCACTTTCAACATCGAATAAATGCGAAAAAGAAAAATCAAAACATCTTTTGTTTATAAAATGTACACGAGTATTTTATCTGTTATATTACATTACACAAATGTCCTTTTATTTAAATCCTTACAATAGTTATATTATTTGACATGGAAGATTGACACAAGAGGCTTTAAATAAATCTACCTGTACTAGACAATAATTTTACAGCAGCTATATCATATAAACTTCACATTCATGACGGAAACACTAGCCTACCCTGTTTCTAAGTGACTTGCACAGTACACCACAGTCAAAGCTACACTCAAAACGGGAGACAGATGATGGGGGTCACACATTTGCAGGAGTTTTTGTTGTTGTTGTTGTTGTTTTCGAGCCAACACCACAGCACACAGCCGAGCCGATCCCTTCCAAAAAAAGGCACCAATAATTTTCCATTTGGCGTGCCATGCGCCGACACGTGGCCGTTTTTACCATCGTAATTGCACGGGGGGGACATCACCCATTAGCCAAACGCGTGGCATAAACCCGATTCAAAATGTACCACCAATTTAAAGCCTAAAATTACCCGTGTTGTGTGTTCTCATTCTGAATGTTACGACTTTGCTTCAATTCCCCAATTATTGCTTGTATTGTCATTTGTAGCAGTGCCATCGTAAGTCAGGACATGGACAACTGGATCTTTCAAAGTCTTGTCCGCAGGTGCTCAGTTGTTATGTGTTGTTATGTGTTGTTATGTGTTGTTATGTGTTGTGTGTTGTTATGTGTTGTTATGTGTTGTTATGTGTTGTTATGTTGTTATGTGTTGTTATGTGTTATGTGTTGTTACGTGTTATGTGTTGTTATGTGTTGTTATGTGTTGTTACGTGTTATGTGTTCGGTGTGTCGTGGTGCAGTGTGCTGCTGGACATTGGTTGTTGGCGAGCGCAGAGCTTCGTGTTATGGTGCTGTGGTCTGTTGGTGTGCAGTTGCTGTTCAGTGCAAAGCTGTGTGTTATGGTGCTGCCCGAGGCTGTAACAGCGAGCTCAAGATCATAGCTGCTGTGACGCCTCACTCTGCACTCAAAACCGCTAACAGATGCACTAAAACTGACATTATTCATAATTAGACCTGATTTGTGCATTTATTTTACAATATTATCTACAAGTAGTCCTACATGTAATTAAAATGACACGGTGGAATATGAAGGAATTAATCCTGAGATTGAAACTCAAAGTTTACAGAATTTACATAAATTAATCAAGTGTGTTAAATAAGCAAAGCAGTACAAATTTTAAGTGAACAAAAAAAAAGCAGCACCGATATTACAAATTGCATAACGTCTGCACACGGGAAACATAACAACAACAACAATGTGGAAGACTTGATGACTACCTATCGGAACTTATGATGCATTTAGATATAAGAATTATTCATCTTTTTTTATTAAATAGGTATCCTTGATTTAAATAACACTGCCACGCGTCAGTCAGTGAGGGTAGCTCCTATTGGGTCCTCAGTCTCCGAGTTTTGCTGCTGTCCACGCGTACCAGCGCGGCCACCCCAGCAGGAGGCCAAGCGACCGTAGGCGGGTTGGGCAGTGTTGCGCTTCTGTGCTTCATTTACAAACGAGGAAGCTCCACTCCTCCGCGCCGGCCGCCTCCATGAGCAGGACATCCTCTACAAACGCACGCGGGGCGAGGCACCGCCGCGGTGACGGGCGTAACGACGGGCCTCCTGCGCAAAGGGTCCCAGCGGAGCCTCCGTCCTATCCAAGAGCGTCCATCAACATCGTCAAGTGCAAGGAATTTCCGTAGTTGAAAGGGAGCGAACGGCCGCGCGTTACCCCCCCCCCCCCCACTCCCCCTCCCTCCCCCCCCCCCCGATTGCTGTCCGTCCGTCCTCTTTTTTTTTTACTTTCTTTTTTTAAGCGCCGCTCAAGGTCCGGTCAGACCTTGGCCTCCAGCATCTCGAGGAAAAGTTTGTGCATGGGCACCTTGCCCTCCAGTTTGACAGAGTAGAAGTGCTGCACGGCGCGCGTCGCCGTCTGCCGGAGCAGCGGCAGCGTCATGAGCAGTTTGCCGACGCGCCGGGCGTCCTCGCCGTGCATGCTGCCCTCAAAGTCCTGCAGCGCCTCGTGCAGAACGTCCTGAAGCTTTTGCACCGCCTCTCCGTCCTCGATGTGCATTGAGTCTGTGGGACGGCAACGGCACGAGCAGGCCACACACCGGTTAGCAACGCAGGCAGCTATGTTCACACCGTGTCGAACACTTTCGGATAATGCCTTGTAGATCACGACCTGGTACCAGGATTTGGGCGCAATGGTGGTGGGGAGATGTTATCTATCTCGCGTGATATGCAGGAGATCGTGGGTTCGACTCCGACCCTGACACATGCATATTCAAAGTGTGTGTGATGTTCCCATGGTCGCGTGGATTATTCTCTGGGTCCTCTGGTTTTACCCTCCACATTTTCAACAGGCGTTTATATCATATGCTTAGTTCTTTCGGTAAAGTCACGTTGAAGGGAAGCAACAAAATAATAAAATATATATAAAACAATAAAAATTCTCACGACGTTTCGACCATAACACAAACGGTCGTCTTCAGGTGGTGTTATGGTCGAAACGTCGTGAGAATTTTAATTGTTTTATATATATTTTATTATTTTGTTGTTTCCCTTCAACGTGACTTTACCGAAAGAACTAAGAATATGAATTACTGCAGTCACGAAAGCTTTAAATCAAAATTTACGCGTTTATATTATTTGGCTGCTACTACAAATTGCCACATGATCATGAGGCACTTACATGAGCTTTCATGTGTGGCCAGGTTGCCTCTGAAAAAGAGCTCATAGTTCAGTGATATTTACCTGCTAAATAACATAAAAAAGTACTCAAACTTTTGCTGGTTCCGTCTGGGTCAGTGAACTGGAAAATATTTTGGCATATCACATCCAGTATACTTCTATGGCTGTGGCTGCTAGTCATGAGCCTGCTCTAGTTTGCCAGTGACCCATAAAATATTCAATGCGAAATTAAGCCCTGTCTGATACCATATTCAAAAGTATTTTGGCAACTAGAAGATATGTCACATATGATCGATGTGCTACTTGTTTTCTGTTACCGTGTAATTGTTTATACCGTGCTGTGTATTTAGTTGAAAATTAATGATGATAAAAAATATGTATTGTAAAAATGTCAGAGATGCCACCATGATCGTGGTTGTCTCCAGCGCCTCAGTAGATGGCAGAAGCTAATGCAGGTGAGCCATTCAATTTCATATCCAAACCAACTCGTTGCTCTACTTAAACCTGGACGTACAATTTGCACCTACGTTTGTCATACACAAGAATAAGCTGCTTTACTTATACACCTTTTTTTTCACAAGTCTCTCTTATAAAGGAGACCAGTTGTCTCCATGCACACTCCCCTGCTTTGAGCAATCTACTTATTTCCACATCAACTGTTCATCCCGGCTCATCCGGTTGTCTCTCAACCGAACTTGTGCGATGAAAACTTTGGAATAGAGTTTGTTAAGTTCTGACAGTCTTAGTAACCCCCCCCCCCCTCCCCTCCTCTAAACCCCCCCATTACACACCTGCTAATTGCTGTACCATTATACCAAGTGACCAATTTAAACGAGACACAAAAACAACCGAGGCGGCTCACGTCACAACAGGGCTCACACGAGGACTGGTGCGCGGCACGCCGAACAGTACGCACCACCACTTTCCAGTGCCGTCGGCGCACGTGCGTGCCCAAGTATGAATGTGGCGTGCGTCGCGATTCCGGGGCGTTAGTATGCAGCTCGCAGGAACACGAGCAGGCTGTGGCTAATGTTGCATGAGTATGCGGCAGACAGGCACAATTACGCTGCAAGATAATTGCACAATGGAAATAAAAATTTGCTGCACCCAACTAATTTTACATGCGACCGCATCATTGCGGGCAGCATCTACTTGCGACGAATGAAGTTGGAAAGGACATGCCTATTGTCTGAGCCATCCACCGTACAATAGTGACAACTCGTAGATGCATTACCCTCTCCTTGCTGCTAACACGGATTCACACACACGCACACAAATACATACACACAGAAGACTATGCAGCGTACAGTGTTTTCACCCACGCACAGAACACACGCACACTATATAAGTCACAACCCTCCTCTTCAACACTAATGTATTTCTCATTTTTTGTAAAGTGTCTTGAGATGCGGTTATAACTAAATTCAATATGAATTACAATTATTATCGTCAATTGTTTTTTGTTGCGGTGTGTACATCGAGGTACGTATAGAGTACCTTGTACACGACAGCTTGTGTGCTCGATTGTGGTGGACCGGGATTTAAAAAGACAAATCACTCAATAAGGAAAGCGCATGTGCCCTGTACTTTAGGCAGTTCTCAAGCGTAACCTCAAGACGTTTAGTCGTCTAGCTTAGCCAGGCTTAAATGTTATTGTTTTTAAAAGGCTGATAAAAAGGCAGATCAGTTGAGATTCTCGAACACATAACTTGCAACATCAGAGCTACTTGAGAAGACAAATGAGCACGGTGTTACTTTGGTGAAACAATTTCCTTCCCATCAGTCAACAGGCCCTACGTCGATGGAAGGGCTGAACCCGTTAATTACAAAATCAATTAAAAATAATTTCGAAAGGAGTCACGTTTTAGTTCTCGGGGGCACGATTAGACAAAAGCCTCGTCTGTGGCTTACCGCAGCCTCTAATGTCTCCGCTGAAACTGAGCAAAGCCAATCTGCTTTTTCATTTTTCAGTTTGACCGATTCGCAGCCACCATTGATCAACGCGCTGCTCCCAAAACAAACTGTCAATACCTTGAAGAGCGAACAATGCGAACAAATGACTGCCCTCCCATACGGCCACTCATTACATTTCATTTAACACATTTTATTGACATTTTCCCCTGTTGTAATTAACGAGAGAAACCAGCTGGCCTCAGACCAAGACACTGGCCTGTGTGCGTGTGTAGCGAGCGTTTTCAGAGGCACGGGGGGAGTGCGGGCGGCGCTGAAGGGAGGCTGCAGCACACTTCGTGCACGACCTTGACTTTTTCATCAATGGACTGACATCCATGTCAGCATCTGGCACTGCTCAATACAAATATTTATCAAAAAAGAATAAAACATTTGCTTTGGATAAATGGCTGCGCTGGAGCATGGCTCTTAAAAACCGATTGAGTGCGCGCACATTGTGGGAGCGCGGCTTGCACATTATATTCTACTGCGCAAAAACGGAAACACTCTCAAAGTTGTTCATGAATTACACGACGACCTACATTCTTTCATTAAGGCTGCAGTTATACGCCCATTAAAAACTGACAAATAATTTTAGGGGAAAATGTGAGCTTTGTTTCTGTTTGTGTTAGCTCATTCGTGCAACAGAGCAGCACGGTGTCGTGAGGGACTATGAAAGCAGTGTTCTTCTTCTTCTTCTTCTCCAAACACTTGTGGTCCTGTGCGCTACTACTACCGATTGTATCATCATCATCAGTCGCGGTCTATCCACTGCTGGATGAAAACCTCCCCCCCACCATCGCCAACTGTTACGGCCTTGCAATGTCACAATCCATCATTTCACTTTTGCGCACAAAATTATCTCATCGCTCCATCTCCACGGTGGGGCGTCCTCGCCGGAAATATAAACTAATTGCGTAAATTCAAACATTTACAGAATCTTGTACCACAACCAAAGACTTTTACAAATTAGGGTAATGTTGCATCTTTTTTTTTTTTTTACACGGGGTGATGTGTTTGACGCAGCACCGCGCTAAGGTGGGCTCCGTGCTGGGCGTACCAGAGTTAGCCAGGGCAATGGCCTTCAGCGCCACAAACTCCTCCTTGTCGAGCTTCAGGGCCTTGTACTTGCGCACAAGCTGCAGGATGGCGGAGTTGAGGTCGAGCAGGCCGGCCACCTTGGACAGCTCCTCGTCCATCACGTAGTCCTCGGCCCACACGAGCTCGTCTTCGTAGGGCAGCGAGCGGAACACGACACCCAGCAGCAGGATCTCCATCCACGCGCTCTGCAGCAGCGACATCTGGTCGCCCAGCGACAGCGTGGAGAAGCCTGGCACGCATAGCGGGCACACGCGGGCCACGCACAGGCACGTACACACGTACACACACACACACGCATACACATACATGCACACACGCGCACACACGTACACCCATACAATGCTTTGAGATCCATGTTTTTTGGTTGAGTGCTCAATAATGGTCTCTACCACGGTGCTCCTTCCGATGTATTTACGGAGTGATAACTGCTTCCCCGTACTACAGAGTTTTGTCTTGCTCAGCGCAAATTAAATAACCCACTCTAGGTCTGGTCAGTACCATTAAAAATTATAACATAAATGTGCAAAAGGGATCAGGATAATAAGTTAAGTTCCTTTTTTTCATTTGTGGAGTTGCAGCAAATTGCTATCTGACTATCTGTCTTTCTAATTTAAAACTTTATATTAATACATCTTTTGTTTGACTTATTAAATTAGAGCACTGCAACATTTTAATGAGACGAGTCTGCGATTCACACCGAGATTTCACAGTTAATATGACACCTTTGCCATTTGAAACTTTTTTTTTTCGAAATAGTTTTTAATGAAACAAATCTATACTAATTTTCTATTAACAAGCAATGAGAATGATACCGTTTCATCACCGGCAGATACCACTAGCCTTGCGAACCTCACCGAAGTGGGCACTTTCCTTGACATTTATTTTCCCGACAGCAATCCCGTTTTGCGAGGATCGTTCGGAGCATTAAACTACTGGCACCGATGTCAACGGGCATGGCTCAGCGGCAATGCGGTGCCCGTACTCAACGGGTGTAGGATAGCACTGGCCGGTGCGCGTTTAAACCTGTCACTGCATCGGGGCCTCGTGGGGGGCATGAGGCGGGCAGGGCTTGCGTGCGCCGTGCAGCGAGTCCCGGCCCCCGAGGCCTCCGGCATCCGAGAGGAATGCTCAGCACACTCAAAACTGCCAGCGGCAAACGATTGGATTTATACGCTTTCAGTTGGTCAGAATCTTCGGGCCAATAATTAAAACCGGAATGATTGGTCTATTGAGCGCTGGCAGAACTTTTTATCTGCGGTGATATTGGTGATGTTATCAGCCTGACACTTTTACTGTTGTCAGCCCCATCCCAGTGTCCAATTTTTCTTATCTCGCTGATTAACACAAGGGCTGCTTCCCACTGCATTAATTAACAGATACAAATCTACATTCACATGAAGAGATCAATACGGGGGGGGAAGAATAGGCCTTCAGAGTGAATTTACTTTGGATGATGGAGAGGACGCCCCCGTCGATGTTTACGTGTGCAGAACGGCAAAAGCCTGGCGGTGGCCAACGTCGCCGTGGCGGTGCCGGAGCGCCCCCCCCCACCACGCGCCACATTCGGGGGGGGGGGGGGCACGGCGGCAGCCGTGAGTGACGGGCCGAGCGCTGAATGGGAGCGCGAGAAAGAAGGATGCCTGGTGCCGCTGGAGGTTACCGTGATAATGGTTCCCTCTATTTCTGGTCACTTGAAAAGATGCTATCTGTGGAGGTCTTGGGGCCTCCTGATTGTGGTTTTGGAAGAAGAAGAAGAAGAAAAAAAAACCTCACAATAAACATCTGATTGAAAAGATCATTTTGTTTCAGTGAATGGAATGTAAATAGCTTGAGGCTGAAAGGTAAGCAATTTAAATTAGCAGCGTATAAAGGAAACAGTGCTTATTCCACACAAACTGCACAAAGCATTGTTTGGCTTTAAAACGACTCTGCTGATGCCCCCATATCAGCGGTGGTGGTGCGTCCTGCAGCAAAGGTAGCCTTTACTCCATGGCAAGTTGCCTGGGCTGTGCCGCTTCATTTCCTGCATCACGGAAACTACTGATCATAATCCCCTAATACCTAGCAGATGGATGATACAACTTGCCAAATTTGTCAACATCATAGGACTTGCAGCCAAGATTGGCAACATTTGACGCCAGATAATTCTCAGCCACAAGAAGTGTTACATTTCATTATTATCAATTGCGGAAACACAAATAGTGGATGCAAAAAAATATATCTTCACTGCGTCGCATGAACTACATTATTCTGTGAATCTTTTATTCAGTTTTATCCTAAAGCTCACTAATACCATTAAAACCCTGCTTCACATTTTACACATTCAATTGGTCAAGAATAAAGGATTCATCATGTGTAATACTCGAGACTCAGATGGATGTCGGGACAATTACACGAGAGTCTTGTGTGAGGCTGAGTTCCCCAAAAAAAGACAAGTTTGATCGCTGTGTTAGCCGCTACATGAATACTACAAATCCTAGTGGATAAGCTTCCAGTTTAAATCCCAGTCTCTTGTGCTAACCACAGCTGACCTTTAATCCAGACAGGTGTGGGGGCTGATTAGCGTGGCTCAGGTCTGCTCTCGGAACAATGTAATCCACATTCGGAGCCCTCAGCATCTTCTCCCGGGGCAGCCTCAGTCACATGGCTTCAATGAGCCTAATTAAGCATGCCGTAATTCCAGACCATTGCATAAATTAGACTATTCTGAGCTGAGATTAATTCTAAATATACTGGAGCAGCTGTTCAGGATGCTTGGATCGTTCGCCTGTTTGCCTAATTAGAGGCCAGAATTGCTGGGAGAAACAGAGTTTGGGTTTTGGCGGCGATCGCTACGCTGGCACTAATTTTGAAGCACCGCGAATCGCAGCTTGTGAGCGTTCAGGGAGGGCGGTAAGTGGCACACGGGGAAGCGACTTTTATGTTCCCAAATATCAACATTTACATTTTAATCAGTCAATCCCGAGCGCTGTTGCAAGAAGCCTGGGCTGCGCAGAGGGCATCGGAGTGGCGCAAGGCGCAGTGGGGCACTTGGCCCTTCGCTCAGAGCAGAGGAACAGGACGAGGGCAGCAGAGTGGCACAGTGCCCATGGGGCACCTGGCCCTCCACTCGGCCCCGGCAGTGGCATGCGTTGTCCCGCCATTGGCGGGACAGCGCATGCCACTGGCAGCCTTAGCAGAAGCCTGCAGGGACCCACGTGAGCCATTTTCCTTTCCAAGTGTCGTCCACGAGGAAGGGCTGTGTGTTGCAAACGGTGCCACACAGCACGTCCACAGGAGGCAATTAACTCGTGTTTTGAAGACAAAATAGAACACGGTCCCACAGAGACAATAAATGTCTTGTTGTACCAAAATAAGGACGATAATCACACTATCCTACGCTCCCCATCAACATGGAATCATAATTACAGCACCAGTAAATCAACCAATTTTAATATTGATTTCCTTGTTAGACACAATAAATGCATCTCACTAATTGACTCAATAGCCAATTGTGGCAACATAAGCGGGCAAATGCTACAGAAATCAGTAGCCAAGTGCCTAATCTGTTTTAGGTCAGAATAATGAAAATATTCACACTTTTTCATTCCAGGACTTGTGAGGGGAGACCCATGACTGTTTAAACTGAACCATGCAAAATCTGCAATAAAGCCCAACGCATTCATAAACACACACACACACACTAAGATATCCTCAAAACTACTCGACGAGGTTTCTTCAACAAATATCACCCACTTAGCGTGGCGTGTTTTTGCTAAATATGTTTGTCGAACACTGAAAGCGGTTGGATAATAATGGCCCTCTGTTGCGCGGCGACGCGCGCTGGGACATTCCGAGCCGCCTTCGTGTTTTTGGGCTGCACACGCAGTAAAGCAGAGTCGCGGAGGGGCTCAGAGTGTGTAGGCTCCCCCCTCTCCCCCCCCCCCCAAATAATTCCCTTAATTCTCCGAATCTACGGCTCATAATCTCCTAATTAATTATTCTTTTGCGCCGCTTCAGGATCATTACGCAATGCAATAAAGGACATGTAATTATGAAATTTTACAGCCATTACAGATGGCGACGGCTCATATTTCACAGTAAATATTAGGCGGTGTGTGGGCACGGGACCTCAGCGGACAGCGTGCTGGGTTCAGATGGATGAATTGTGCCCAGAAGTAATCAGCACCCGGGGCCCATAATGGCCGTGGCCAGATGAAGCGGCGGATAAAGACAAACTGCACCATCAGTGCACGCCCGGTGGTACCATAAGGCAGGCTCATCTGGCTGGATAAACATGGCTGATTGAGGCTGGGCTGGGCACTGTGGGCGACCAGCGGGGGCGAGCCGAGGGGGGGTAGGGGGGGAGAAAGGGCGGGAGGGCAGCACGCGATGGGCGAGCAGTGCCGGACGCCCGCGCCGCGGAGAGAGGGTGCTGCAGGAGAGGTCCTGTCCACTTCATTATCGTTGCCGCACAATACAGTTTCATTAAGGAGCAGAGGGGCCGCAGATGGGGAAGGGGGTCGCGCGTCCCCCGGGATCTGCCCTGCCCTGCTCCACTCTCCCTGAGCATCACTCAGCAGGGATGCTTTCAACTGCACACAAACACCCCCGGGACTGCTGCAGCCACCGTCGCTAACTCGCAAATTGCGCTGGCCTGGCCACACCGACGAAATTTGTGTTTTGTAAAAAAAAAAATCAAGTCACTCTGCAAAATACAGGGCTGGATAATGCGGCTGTTGTAAGGTGTTCCTCTAATTTAAAGCCACAACTCGATTTACTGTCATTTTTAAGAGGAAAGGGAATTGGGGTTGGGTGAATTTGAGGCGGGGGAACCAAGCGGAATACATTAGCTCCTCTTGTCCCACGGTACCCGTAAACATCTACTGATGGAATTTAAGAAGAAATCCCCTGGTGGAATGAATTGGATTAAATTTCCGAGTCCAAAAAGCCTCCTTAAATGGAAGAGGAGTCCAGACATGTGAGAGAGGAAATCCAGCTGCATCACGGAGTGAATTATTTAGAACCTCGCGGCCCAGCAACGCCGCCCAACGCCCTCTCCAGCAGCCGCCAGAGGCTCGGTTTATGCTACGGAGTTTACGGCAGCGATGATAATAATGCGGAGAGCGCACCAACATGTTTCTGGGAGGAAGCGAACAAGAAAACATATTATTCTAAAGCAATCTTTTTCCATACGAAGCTGGTGGATGCGACTCCACCGTGAGATTTGGTGGACCGCAGGCACTCGGT